CGAAGACAACTCGACGAGCATTCCTCACCCTCACCTCCAGCAGTCGTCTAGCGATCTGTCTCCCGCATCCTCTGAGTTCCCAAGGAGTCCTGAGACCAACTCGAGACAGAAATGAGGGTTCTGTGGACTTGTCTCCTGCCTCTCCTTCTCGCTGGTGTCGGCCTGATGCAGGTAACGCCACTCCCGCAGCAACGTCTAGCTCTGATGTTATGTTTTCAGAAAAATACACATACACTCTCTCTCTCTCTCTCTTTTCCCTTTCTCTCTTCTCTCTCTCTCTCTTTCTCTTATTCTCTCTCTCTCTCTTTCTCTATCTTTATTCTCTCTCTCTCTCGTATTATTCTCTTTATATCTTTTTCTGGAAGGACGAGTAAGTCTCATCACCTATGTCTTGGAATTACACCAACAGAGGTCCCTTTCCCCGCAGGTCGTGGCCGGAAGTGACTGCGAGCCCAACGAGTTCTGCGACAGGAAGAACGGGAGTTGTTACTGGAAGGACGAGATGGCCTGCAACGGGTCCTCCTTCAGCTACGGCTGTTCGGGGAAGGGGTGCGCCTGCTGTGTCACTGGTGCGTGGTTGCCTCCTCGCCTCCCCTGTCCGCCTTTTTCGGATACACGTTCACTTAAACCCTCGAAAGGCCATGTCGTTTCGCCGTTCCTTACCACCGCCGTTCTCACCCCCAGACCCGACAGTGTGCATCGAGAGGAACTTCTGCGCGAAGAGGAACGGAACTTGCATCCCCAAGACCCAGAACTGCAGCGGCGAAGTCCTCCTGGAAGGCTGCCAGTCGGACACCTGCCACTGCTGCGTGGAGAGTAAGGGCTTCCGATTCCCTTGTTGGCCATCCTGCCGCGCTGGCATAAGATCCAGGGGCCTCTGGCGCTGCTTGTCCAGGAAATCCTTCACTCTCCCCCTCTTTGTCTTTTGAACAGATCCAGTGGACCCTGACGTCGAGTGCGAGCCAAAGGATTGCGCGAATTACAACGGAACCTGCTTCGAGAGGGGGAAAGCGCCCTGCAATGGGACGATCTACAGCAGGGGCTGCAAGAGCGTGTTCTGCGCCTGCTGCGTCCCAGGTAAGGCAGCCACTCCGATCCGACCATTCCTTCTAGTTTCTTTTGCTAATGTAAAGAAAAGTCTTGCATGCCATCTTTTCTCAATAATAGGCCTACAAAGTGTCATTTCATAATTTATTATCCAAAGATATCTACGACAGCATTTCGTTCCAGAGAAATCAAATTGTACTTTGTGAATCCGGATATTTTTCCTTTTCCTAATAATGACTCCTTGCTGCTTTGATGCTTATACCCCGGATAAGCCACACCAAATGGACGCTACCTGTAACACTAACGTCGTATCCGAACACTCCCAGACACAAGCATCTGCATCGCAAAACCTTCGTGCGACGGCGAGTGCAGGAAGGTCAGCGAGGGCTGCGACGGCACGGTGGTCGAGGACGCCTGCCACGGGACGGACTGCCAGTGCTGCGTCGAAGGTGGGACACGGGCGCGCTTCCGAGGGGTTCTCTGCCCACGATGTGTACAGGAGTTCTCCCTTTTATTTTTTTATCTTGTTTTTATTTGTATATATCTTTATTCATTTATTTATTATCATTATTATTGTTGTTGTTGTTGTTGTTGTTGTTGTAGTTGTTGTTATTATTATTATTATCATTATCATTATTATTATCATTGTTATTATTATTATTATTATCATCATTTTTGCTCTTTTTGATGCTGCTTAGTCGTCCCTGGTTTCATCTGGTGTTATTTTGCATTCGCAGACGACGACGGCGAGGGTGAAGACTACTAGTCAGCGGAGAAAGCAGAAGGGACGGCAATAGAATCCTACTTAAAAGAAGAAGAAAAAAAAAACTTTCCACTGCAAGCACATGAAATCAAAGCACCAAGGAATCATTGTAATTAGAACATCCTACCTAAAAAAAAAAAAAAAAAAAAAAAAAAAAAAAAAAAAAAGTTTGCATTCCACTGCAAGCACAAGAAGTCAAAGCACCAAAGAATATAAGGATAAGGAAGGGGGTAAAAGTCCAAATTCACGAAGCACGAGAGCAATTTGATTTTTCTACAGCGAAATGCCGTCGGTGTAGAGAGACCTTTGGAGAATAAACTATGAAATTACACATTGAAGGCTATTATTCACTATTATTCAAAAACAGTCATGTATATTCACTTAATTATTTCTTTATGAGAGAAAGTGGCTCTGACTCTCTCCCCTCTCCCCCTCTCCCCCTCTCACTCTCACTCCTCATTTATATATATTATATGTATATATATATATATATATATATATATATATATATATATATATATATATATATATATATATATATAAGAGAACGAGAAAGCAAGATAAATAAAGAAAAAATTAAATTATTAAGAAATAAACAATGAGAGAAAATAAAAGGAAAAGGAAATGTTTATGCTTATATATTCGTATATTTACTTATAATGTTCACATACTTATCTTATACTTATACTTATACTTATACTTATACGCCTTTTTACTAGAATCAATATCTATAGATATACCTGGTCACCAGAATCACTATAGTCTGTATTACCCTTTTTCCTAACCCTAATTAATGTCTATAAATATATATGTTCACTAGAATTACAAAAGTGCATTTATTCATTTTTTCTAACTCTAATTAGCATTTATAAATATACCTTTTCACCAGAATCAAAATAATCTGCATTTTTAAAACTTTTCTTTTATTTTTTATCTAAGCCTAATTAACATCTATGAACAGACCTATTCACCAGAATTACAGTAGCTGTATTCATTATTTTTCTAAATCAAATTAGTATCTATAGATATACCTGCTCACCAGAATTACAGTAGCTGTGCATTTATTTTTTTCTTATTATCCTTAGCATAATTAATCATACCTTTTCACCAGAATCACACAAATCTGTATCACCTTTTGTTTTGTTTTTCTCTAAGCTTAATTAACCTATTAATATACCTATTCACCAGAATTACATTACCTGTATTACCTTTAATTCATTTTCTCTTAATCTTAATTATCTTACATACATAACTTACACTTAAGGACGGATTGAAGGATGGTTTTGGGGCGTCTGAGTCTGATAGAGGACCTTCAAGGATTGAGTGAAAATTGGCTTTAATTGTGGATGTTGAATCAAAATATAGAAAGGTATTAAACATTTAGGTATTTTTTGGTTTATCTACCATAATACGTTTTTTTCTTAAACTTTTTACTTCATGAAATTATTACTAGGGGGTCGTACTTTATGGATAGTGTCTATTTCCACTATCAATCCTTTAACAATTAGTATATATCCAGTGTCAGTCGTCAACAACCAGTCTGTTCACCATCAGTGGATACTCTCCCTCTTATTTGGCAACAAAGCTGGACAGAAGGCAAAGTCCCTACATATTGTGTAAATAACAGACTACGGTGCTTTAAATATATAAAAATAGTAAAACATTAAGATGTATATTGATAAAATTAGATTCCAATCATATCCAAAGGAATGATACCAGTTGACATGAAATTTTGAGGTCTCTCTGTGACTGTAGAGGTAACTAAATTATATCTTGTTCGTCTTATTATTTCACAAGCTTCTATACGAGGGAAAAATAAATCTACTGTAATCATCAAAATCCATTCCTTGAACACAGTAGATTTAGAAACAGAATAAAACAGACAGTACGTCACAGCAAATAATATCCATTGTAACAAATGGCATTTAAGCTAAATCTTCTTTTATTCGAATTCTCGACACTCTCCAAACTGGTCACCGGCCTTCTGGCGACGGATGACGATGTCGTGCGCCATGACGAGGGTCGCGAGGGCGTCCCAAGCCACCATGGCGAAGATGATGGCCCGGTTGACCCGCCTGACCCTCCGGACCCGCCGCGCGTGGGCTTCGTCGGCCTTGGTGGGCGCGGGGAGGGGAGGGGGCGCCCAGGCCAGCGCCGACGCCCCTTTCTCCCCCCCCGACGCCCGGGAGGGCCTCCGCCGCCTTCGGGACTCGCTCGCGGCGCCCCGGTGACGCCCGCCTTCCCTGCCTCGCGACGCCGCCCCACGTACGCCCACATGAAGGACTGAGAAAAGTGGTGCAGGAAGATGAAGAAGAGGCGCGTCATCACCCAGAAGAAGATGGTGTCGATGACCTTGTTGGAGGCGGACGAGGGCGTGGTGGCGGCGACCTGGGAGAAGAGGGTGGCCACCACGATGAAGCAGGACAGCGTCACCATGATGCGGTCGCTGCAACGGCAGGGAACGGGGCTCGGGTTGAAGGCTCGGCGCCAAGGGAGGGTAAGGGCTCTCGTGGCATTTATGACAGTGATAGGGAGAGGACGATATGGCCAAAAATAACATTGATAACAGTGATAGTGATAGGGTGATAAGGCCTCAAATAACATATATAACAGTGATAGTGATAGGGTGATAAGGGTTCAAATAACACAGTGATAATTATAGGATGATGAGTGCTCAAATAACATGATATGACTCAAATAACACACAGTGATAATGATAGGTGATAAGAAATAACATATATAACGCAGTAATAGTGATAGGCTGATAAGGGTTCAAATGATAACACAGTGATGATAGGATGATGTGTTCTAATAACATATAGTGATAGTAAGAAGACGATGGGGGCTCAAACAACACTAATAACACAGTGATAGTGATAGGGTGATAGGGGCTCTAATAACACAGTAAACAATATTTCGAAAGGGTTGTCAGTAATACTCCTTGGGGAATTCAGAATATCGAAAGGGGTGACAGATTTTCCTGTATTTTGTGTGCTTTCGTAAATGTTCTAAAATCTACAGCCTTTTCTCTGCTCTCTTCATGTACAGGTATTTGTGAGAAGCAATGTGATGAATTATATCTAATTATATCCAGACAGAATTAATTATATCCAAATAAATTATATCCAAATGATATAACAAACTATATTATATTATATCAAATAATTATATCCAAATAAAATAACGAATTATGTTATTACATTATATCCAAATAAAATAACGAATTCTATTAGTATATTATATCCAAATAAATCATATCCAAAATTATATATAAATTATGTATATAAATTACATCCGAATTATATCCAAATAAAATAACACAAAGCCTTTGATAATATTGAAGTCAATAATCTCTATTTGACCTTTATAAAAAGTACAAATATTAAACAGCTATTGAACACATCTGCACATGCATGAAAATCACAACAAATAAGCGTGCAAATTGCAAAGTGTGCAACAGGAGTAACGAAGGGAAGGACAAGAAAACACACTAATATGCCTATTTCTTGTTCTTCCCTTCGTTGTTCCTGTTGCAATCTGTTCGCCATGAATTCCACACTGCAGAGAGAGAGAAAGAGAATGAGAGAGAGAGAGAGAGAGAAAGAGAGAGACACAGACAGAGAGGGACAGAAAGAGAGAGAGAGAGAGAGAGAGAGAGAGAGAGAGAGAGAGAGAGAGAGAGAGAGAGAGAGAGAGAGAGAGAGAGAGAGAGAGAGAGAGAGAGAGAGAGAGAGAGAGAGAGAGATAGAAGAGACACAAACAACAAAGAAACAAAATGTGCGGGAACATTTACATTCAAACGACTTTGTCAAAAATAAACATTTATCTACAATATTTTACGGAAGAAAATTAATTCTACTGAAGGACCTGCATGTATATAACTCGAATAAAGTGAAAAAAAAATCTTTACCTGAAGTTGTCTTGTTCAAAGAAGAGAGTAATATAGCCGATAATAGCAACCAAGACGCATGGACCCAAAGTATTGATGACATAAGCGCTATATTTGCGAGACAAGAGCACCTAGAATGAAAGCCAACATTTGTAAGATTTGGCAGGAAAAATAGACGATAATAAGGACCTATTTTGAGTGCCAGGTAAGTAATTGAGTAATTAGTAATTGAGTAATAGTAATCGAGTAATTGGTGATTGAGTAATTAGTAGTTGAGTAATAGTAATTGAGTAATTAATAATTGTTATTAGCTGAGTTATTACTTAATAGACGACACTACCTGTGTTCGATATTTTGTATATATATATTTTTTTCTCAATATTGTTATTTTCTTACAAGTATAGCATGGGTAACGGTTTTAAAATGAAACATTTATATTGACATATATTTACGATGTCAAACCCCAGAATCTTGAGGCTTTTGACCTTGGAATTCTAGGTAAGAATTTCCTTTCGTGTATCTTTTGTTTTTCTGTTCACTGGTGAGTGTTAAATACCTTACAACTTTTTAGAATATATAATGATGAATTTCCACAATACTGATTTTACTGAAAAATTACCAAAACTTTAATAAGGAATTAAATTTTGTGTTTCGCACAGAAGAATTTTATTAGTGAATATCATATATTATCATACTCTTCATGAAAAATCTATGACTTCACTCATGTACGTTTGTAAAATATATTCTATTATTTTTTTTTATTACCAGATACCCAGCACCTTAAGAAAAACAATAACAACATCAACATACTTTATAAGAAATGGACTAAATGTATTTCTCCTCCACGTGGGAAATTCAAAATATACTCTGACTATATTTTTCTGATTGTTCTAAAATAAATAAATAAATAAATAAAAAAAAAAATAAAAAAAAAATAAACTTTATAAAACATGGAGTAAAACTTTATTTCTGATTCCCAGATAGCCATTCTTCTAAAAACAACAACAACAACTACTTTACACTTTATTTCTGATTAATAGCCAGAACTACTCATGGAGTAAAACTTTATTTCTGATTCCAGATAGCCAGCACCTTCTTCTACACAACACACAAACAACAACAACATACTTTATAAGAAATGGAGTAGACGTATCCCTCCTCCACGTGGGCGGTGGTGAAGCACAGTTCGGACTTGGTGAAGAGCGGCAGACTGAAGGACTCTGCGTGGACTTCAATTTCCTTGGGGAGAGAGAGAGAGAGAGAGAAAAAAAAAACTTGGTTGACAACATCCCAAGAAAGATGGGGGGGGGGGGGGGTGGAGGACGGCGATACAGTAATGCAGTTGGGATATATTGAGATTTTTTTTTTTTCAATCGTGTGAAAAAGGGATTAGTATTATATGAGTGAGAAAGAGAGAGGGAGGGAGGGAGGGAGGGAAAGAG